CACCGCTAATTGACAACAATTTACGGAAACTCAATATTGATTGCTTTGGTTTGGTCACAACACACACACACACAACCACCTTAACATCCATTGCCTTGCTTATGTTTTAATTTTCACCTAAAAAAGTTCATAGTTTTGTATAATAATTAATTAAATACAACAATAAAATGATCTTACTTAGTATAATCCAATTCCACTTTCAGGAAGAATTTAAATGAAAATTTTTTTATAAAGTTTATGAAATTTTTTATTAAAAATAATTAAATAAAAAATTCAAATTAATAAGTTAAAAATATTGTTACATGAATTAAACATGTAAATTTTAAAAAATTTTAAAAATTTTAAAAATTTTAATATATTTTTTAAATAGATATTTTTATTAAAAATTTTATCACATTAATTAAATTGGAATTATAAAAGATATTTTTAATAATTTTTATACATATTATTAATTTTTTATTTAATTATATTAATTTATCAATTTAAATTCTTTATTAACGTTTTTATGGAATTGTTTTTAATAGAACACTTGGTGCAAACATTCCATCCAAATCTTGTCCTTCCGTCTACCTAATGTAAAGATCTTAATGATAAAAGATTGATTTGAAACATGAAAAAAAAAAAAAAAAAACCAATGTGTTCATCCTAATTTGATTAATTACACAAATATAGATAATAATTGCACATTGGATACTGTCTTTTTTCCTCTGATTTCACCCACTAACAACCGAAAGATAGGATCCTTCTGTGAAGACCAGCAGTTGGCTGTGCAAAAAAAGTGTTTTTTAACATTGGAATATCTAGGGTTGCACAAAATCGCATTGGTGTAATCCACAGCTTGTATGGGAAAAAAAAAAAAAAAACCCATTTTTATAAACTACACTCCTATTTGTTTAACTGGTAAAATGATATATGCCGAGCGAAAGAGAGAAGGTTGGTTAATTACAGCGTATTATATTGTAGTAATGCTGCTTTTTAGGCATCGATAGATCTTGGTCTTCTGGAATCCAGTTCAGTTGCTATCTATTGTAGTCTGTAGACCGAGAATATTGCGACAGAGTTGCGGTGCTCCCAAAACTTTTTTCGTTTCTTTATTTGTTTCAAAATTGTGCTTTGGACTTTAGAGGATCTATTCCCTGCTGCGTCGAGCCTTTTTGAAGCTTTTCTGATTACTTTGTACTTTTCCGAAGGACAAAGCATCTATTCGTAGAAAAATGTCTCTGGTTACTTTATATGAAATTAAAGCTTACATATATATATATATATACATCACCCTTGTGTGTGTATATTTATTGGACAATGTTACATACATTATCTCAAATACTCATTTCACACTTTTTTTTTATCTTATGAGTTATAATAAAATTTTGAAAATTTATATATTATATGAGTGTGTAAAATATGTATATAAATTAGGGTATGTAATGCCAACAATTATGTAATTTATAGATAATTATTATATTTTTAATTCTAATTATGATCAAATTCAATCCCTAACAATTTCAAATATATAAAAAAAATTAGTATAGATAACTTTTTTTCTTTTATATATATATATATATATATATATATAATATGATGACTATGGGAAGTGGGTTACTTGTTGCTTTCCTATAATTTTCGTGTGGTCCATTCTATTCACATTTTAATAATACTTTTTACTGTATTCTATTGTGCAATGCCAACTGCTAGCTGTCGAAGTAGATGGTGCTTCAAATACAAAATTAGCATCATAAAATTTAACAAAACTAAGAAGTCAAATATATTTAGTGTGTATATATATATATATATAGGGTTATTTGACAGTTTGTATTATTTCATTTCTTCACTTAAGCTTTTTTTTATATGTTTGGATATCATGCAACGAGCTGGGAGCTTAAAGGATATTTGCATAAGGGTTAACATCAAATTCAGGAGCATTTCCTTTGATAGAGGAGATAAAAAAACCTTGTATAAAACAGCTTGGTGGCTAGGAAACTACCAAAGCAAAAGAATTTGGCAAAATAAACTTGTTGAGAATAAAGTTCCAATTGATGTCAATGATCACTTTTTTTGGGGGGTGTTGCTGGTGGTGGTGGTGGTGTTGTTAAGCTTACATTTCTATTATTTTTTCTAAATATGGTAAGATCTTCTTGTAGAAAATCAAACTGTATAAACAAATTTCATGAGCTGTGTTGTGTCCTATTTTTTTAATATAATTAAAAGCTCCACAATCACAAGGTTTCTAACATTTCATGAAATATGTTTGCGAGGAATCTTGTCTTTATGAATGCTTGTAATTCATAAATCAATATAGAACCATCAAGAGTTTAAATCACTCTGTGATGACAGATGGATATATATCCATTTTCGATTCCTTTAGGACATACTAAACAAAAGGATGTGCGCATTTATCAGCACAAACAAAATAATATCCTAAATTTAATTGTAAACTCATTTAGCAAAAGGATATGGCATGAATTATATTTGAATTTTGTAGCAAATAGACAGACAGATATAGTTATTCTTTAAGTGAAAATTTGGGACAAAAGTTTCTGGCTCGTGGCTCAAAAGTGTTATACTCAATTTCCTTTTTCTTCGCTTTTGCGAGTCCTTTAATTAGCACACCAGAGTAGCTTTTCATCTTTTTTTTATTGGATTTTCCAATTCAAGCAGCTCAAGTCCTAGGCCAAAAACTTTTTAAGTCCTCTTTGGGGGATGATTGAAAGATCATGACAATCTACTCCATATTTGATTTTGGCAACTAAAAATAACGTTAACTCTAGTTAGTTTCGTTTAGCGGTGTAGAGTGTACACTTATAAAGGATCACAGCAACCACAGAAACTCAAGTTAGAAAACATTTCCACATGACCACCTACGTCTTGGGACCACATTACTTAGCTTTGCTGTGACCTATAGCTGCAGGGCTTGTTAATCTAGCTAACCAAAATTAAATGCACGAAACTTTTCGACTATAATTCAGCTGAAATTCAATCGGTTATTATTTCAACTTTTCAAGCTATACAAATAATAGTGGCTGTCCTCAGGATCACATGCTAAAAGCAACTATTCTTTTCTAATTTACCATCTCAGGGTATTGCTTTCTTTTTCACGGAAAAAGAGTTGAACCCAATAGCCGGCACTCTGGCTGGCTTGACTAGTCAAAAAGAACTATAATCCTCAACGAGGATTCTCGAAGTTGGTTTGTCCAACTTACATGTAAAAAAAAATACAAAATACTCTTATTTAATATTGTTTTTATCCAAAAGAGTTCTATCCCTACGCTTATCTTCTTCCAATCTTACACCGAACTTACCGCAAAAGTCAATCACATATTTACTTTGTGTAAGCACAATCAATATCATGGTAATAATTAGATTCTAAGCTACTTAGTAACATAAAGTTTAGGCATTTGTTCACTAAGTTACAGCACCTGAAGGAGAATTATAATTTAAGGTTGGTACTGGTGTGCCATATCTTAAGCAGAGTGATATCCTTTTTATACGATAAATGGTGCCGGCAATTCAGTCCCTGACTGCTCGCTGCTATATTCTCATTTTCCCCAATAAAGGCATTGCTTTTCAAAAAGAAAAAGATTGCATAAAATAATGGGCCCTGCCTCTCATAATTCCTCCAGCTTGAGTGGTTACAGGACTAGGTGGAGCTCAAAGCATTAACATGCATGACCAAACCCTGGCCCAAACCATGAAGAAATTTGCATCAGCTTTCTACAAGATTAATAGTTCTGTTTGCTTCGGTTTGCACTTAGCATAAAAAGGAGCATTAAGTTCAGACATGGTATGATCAAGTTAGACGTGATTATTACATTCTTTTTTAAACTGTAAACCACTAGTGGATTTTAGGAATTCATGGAAGTATCGGCACCATGTTTGAAAACATTTTAATGCCTAAAAAAATCAATTATGTATGGTTCGAAATCAATGCGGATATAATCATATATACCTTCTGTCCTTATCTGACTTCAATGGCATATTCGGTCACGTTCAATTCTTGCAATTATTTGATGTGTTCATTGGTGGGGGTTCTGTTGGGCCCTGGAAAGAGAGGGAGGATGTGACGAACAAAAACGAGTGAGGCTTGGATTTTGTAGCATACAGGCCTATGAAAGGCCGGATCTTGTAAGAAAAGCCTTAAAGAACATGGACATTCAGCCTAACATATTATTTACTAGATCTTGTCTAGATCACCCTCTCAGTTTGTTGCAATTGGGCTTGTTTAGTTTATTCCTGTATGTAGTTTTTTTTTTTTTTTTGGATAAACTCCTGTATCTAGTATTATGTTTGTCTTGGCGTCAATGCCGTATGTTATGATGTTGTAGATCAACGATCATGTACATATAATTCCATTATAAAAGTGCTATTCATGTTTAGCTTACGGCTAGAAAGGAACATGTTCATATCGCTTCCTTCTGATCCATTGGTTTACTTTGTTATCTTCTATATTATAGATGTACCGTACATGTCTATTCCTCTATATCCTGCCTGTGGATACATCTTTGCTATGCTTTTGTGTTGCATGATTCAACTTGTTGGTTTGAAGTGAGAATCCAACTGCCAGCACTCTTGTTGCTTAGGTTGGGCCTGGTTCGTTTGTGGATATGCTCTAAGTAAAGCTAGATGGTGTTTCTTTAGTTGATTATTTGTTGAAGGAATCCTCAAATGAAGGCAAAAAACAAGTTAAATTATATCCAAATTGATCTTAGAAGACAATACTAGCAACAGAGAAAGTCTATGGAAATCGGTTTATGATCAACAAGAATATTATAGATGAATGAGCCCTTAAACTCAACACCATCAAAAGATTTGGGGGGAGAAGGAAATTAGATGTCAAATTTGGTTGTTTCTCCAACCAGAGGAAAGATGAGGAGCAAGAGTCTGTTGCAGTATCACTGCAGAAGGCAAAAAAACATTACATTTGAAGCTCAACAAAGAGAAAATAATAACCTGAATGGGCATTCGCAGCCCAGGACGGGGAAGTGGGCTAGTTTGCCGTTTTTCAATTGGACTACAACACAAGCCCGTAGTCACCCCATCGTTTTAACTTTTTAAGTTCTAACACCAACGCGGCAAACCCCTTCCCGTTACTTCCACCCCGTAAATAGAAAACCCTAGAAAAACCCAGACCAGAGACAATGGTTATAGGGCTTAGGCAGTTCATGGCAAGAGTCGGAACCGGTGCTGGAGAGCCAGTTCTCGATACAGATAACGGCGAGGAGCTTGTTCACGTTCAACCTTCCGTTTCCATTGCACTCGGGAATCGTTCCCCGGATACCCCTGGCACTCTCTACATCACCACCAAGTAGCTCCAAATATCACTACAATTACTCAAATTTGTTTCATTTTTCATTGCATTTACACCGAGAATTTATCGTTTCAGGCAAGTGGTTTGGCTGAGTGACCTGGACAGAGCAAAGGGCTACGCCGTCGGTTTCTTGTCTCTTTCACTGCACGCCGTTTCAAGGGACCCGGAGGCCTACCCTTCTCCCTGTATTTACACTCAGGTTTTGCGATGCCTTTTTTTTTTTTTTTTAATTTCTCCTTTATTTACTTGGAAAACATATTTCCTCATGCTCTTATTAAGTTTTCCTTAGGTTTTGTAATGATTTTAGTTGCTAACCATGATCATGCTTTGCTTTCAGTTTATTCAAACTGTAAAATAAAAATCTTTTATTTTGCAATAAGATCTTTTAATTTAATTGTATCATTTTGTTTCTTTATGACTGTTTGACTGCTCATATGCTAGTTTAAATTTCGTTGATTGGTTAAAAGAAACCTAGGGAAAATTAAATTTATTATGGATTGGTGAATACGTGCAACTAGGCTGATGAAACGGGCAATGGAGTAGTTCCAAACCTCGCTGGTTATTTCTTAGTTTAAACTGACATGATCTTAGGATGATCGAATTCAATGTGGGATCTAGCTGTCGCCATAATCTTATAGAACATTATCTAGTCTCATTCAATTTTTTTAAATTTTGGGTTGAAACAAAATTAAATTATAGTAACAAGCAGAAATGGCCTAAATGGTAATGTGAATTTGGATGACCAACGTTTTATTATCAATGAAGTTTAAAGTTTGTAGATATAAAGTCTAAAGCTTCTGTGCACATTTTGACTGGGGATATGCAATGTTTTTGTCTTCCAAATAAGTGCTTGTAGTACAAGCTTTTTTCCCCCCATGTTAAGCTGCTTTTGCCCTGATCTTTTTGTCCGTTATTGGCATGCTCCTTTCCTCCTTTTATACATGTCTGATTAACGCTTTTTGTCCAAAGATTGAAACTGAAGCTGATGAAGATGACTCTGAGGATTCAGATTCAGAATGTAATGATGTTTTAGATTTATCCAAGGTTACAGAGATGAGGCTTATTCCTTCAGATGCTAGCCAATGTGTGTATATTTCAGTATTTTCCTCTACTAATGCTTAAATTTTTATTATGCTGTTTTTATCTTTAGTGATGATGAATGCTGACTTTTATATTCTTTTATTCTGTAAAAGTGGATACTCTGTTTCAGATATTCTGTGAGTGCGCTGAGCTGAATCCGGAGCCTATTGAAGGTGAGTTCCATCAATCAGATTCCTTGTCGAGTTTTAAGTTGGGAAATGCTTTTGCCATTATATGGGCATTTTTCCTTCAGTGGTTGCATGTGATTTACTGTTTTTATTTGCTTTATTTAGAAGGAGAAGAAGGAGGACATAATTGGGTTTTTAGTACTGATCAGTTGGAAGATGAAACTGGAGGTATGGGGTAGACAACACGGATACCTTCTGGAATGCCTCTACATAGTTTCCTCCTGTGCTTTCATATTCTATGCATCTCTAATTACATATTGTATCTCCAGAAGGTGATGATGCAGAATGTCATTTCCATCAGAATCCGACAAACTTAATTGGTCATTCAAATGGTGATCATGATCTAGCCCGGACAGTTCTTGAGGTATGCGAGTGAACATTCATTCTACAAGATGCTGGGAGGTCTAGTGTAATTCATTCCTATTTGGCTATAAATTAATTTTTTTTCAACTTTTTATATTATGTCCCTATCAATCAATTCCAATGCTTTGCTCAAATGAAACTTACAAAATTTTTTGTTTTGTGTATGAGTTGTCTGTTATTGTTATTTTGTTGTAATTTTCTTTAAGAGTAGTTTTTCTTTGAATGCTTGCTATTCCTTTTTATGTCTTCTCTCTTTTCTAAAATGCGTGGCTTGTCTCATCTTGTATTATTTATTTTAATCAACAACAAATTTTAGGGCTCTGATTAATTTAACTCCTCTAACAGGAATTTCTTATCTATGTTGTGGTCGTTATATTTTACCATTTTCTTGCATACCTTTGTACTTTTCCTTCTTGCTTTACTTCTTGGGCTTGTGTCCCAGTTATCCCATTTCTGCAAAAACTTGCAGCTCCAAATCCATGATCAACGCTTTGAGGATGCAGAAGAGATGGAACGAGTTAGTGATAGCAGTCATCATCAGCATCAATAAAATTCCGTGTGATTGTTGCCTTTCAAACCATATGCAGGAAATTCAAAGTATTGCAAGAGTGAACTGAATGCATGTGTTGCTTTTAGCTTATTTATACTCAAAAACTTTGTTGTACATGCTTAATGAATCCAAGATGGCAATGTTTTCTTTTTTAAATAAACTTGCATTTTTAAGTTGTCTTCTTCCTGCGCTTCATTTTGTCATTCATGTATCAGACGGTGCCTGTAGAAAATGCCAGATAATGATCAAATATGGAAATTGTCTCATCCTGTGAGGTGAGGTCTAAACAGAGGAACACTTGAGTCACCGGCACAAACCTTTTGACTTGAGTTCTGCAAATGTTTAACTGCAGCAGATTGTGATATATGAATTGATCCATCAATATATTTGGCGTACTGGATTTTGGTAATATGCTGTAGTCCAGAGGGTAGTGCACCACGTATCTTCATTGCCAACTTAAATGGATAGATGGTAGCTGCCGTAAGATTCTGACTTCAATTCTTTCTACTTTTCCCCTTCAATAAATTGCGGACGGTGGTCAATCGGTCAGCTCAGCTCAGCTCAGATGTTGTGTTTTTGTTGGTGTCAATCAAATGAGCAATGGCGCCAACAGTTCTACTTAATTCCACACCTCGGGTCGAATCATTGACGATGAAAAAAAAAGGGCTTCCACTTCTCATTTCTTCCATCCCGGGAGGCAATTCTGATTGGTTAATAATAAATATATCTTAATGCTATTTCTTTTGTCTTAATTTAACTAATCTATCATGAAAAGAAAAAAAAAAAAAAACTAAAATAACATTGCGTTGATTGTTTTCTAAATGTAAGTTTTCTTTTGCATCTAAAAATAATAAATAAATCAATCAAATTTCAAGAGATTCCACGAAGCCCCTTTAAGAGTTAGACTTCCGATCAAGTATTGCTTTCTTTGTATTCCGCATGCCTCAAGTGTAAGAAAGTTTTCCCTATATTTGACTTTATAATTAATCAAAACAGCCGAACTTGTTGAAATATGTGATTCTTGCCGCTAGGAAATTTTGGTTTCCATGATATTTGATATTGTTGTCCCGTAAACAATAAATCGCCAATCACCATCAATGACTAAGTCTAGCCTTATGGCATATCATCGTTCATCAATCACCATTTGGGAGCCTATTTCATGTCCTGGAGAAAATTTTTGTGGTGAGTTATACATTGTACTTTGGATGTAAAGTATTTCTTGATCAAATTTTTTTATTTTTTTTATGACATTAATAAGTTGCTATAGCTTGTAACTAATTATATGTATATATCTGATATTTTTTCAAATTTAGTACTTAATTTGTATTCAATTTTAAAATGATTGTGATACTTGAACGACTATAGAAAAAACTAAACATTTGCTTTTCTTTATATATAGCTGAATATTTTTATTTTTAAAATTGAATTAATATAGACAATAAACTAATATATATTATTAGAGAATTTAATAAATTCATTATTTTAGTTACTTGAATTAAAAAAAAAAAAACATTTAATAAAAAGAAAAACATGCTAATGGACTTCAGATTTATTATCAAAAAAAAAAAATTAATTCAATTAATTTATATAATCATTTTTAAAAAATATATATTTATTAAATCTAAATTTGAATCTCATCTTTGCATTATCTTTCCTTCTTTTTATGCTGGAATGTTTTTTGTACAAAAAAAAAAGTATACATCCTAACTCTGAATATTATTATCATTAAAAAGTACTTCTGATTTTAAAGAATCTGCTTCATTCATGTCAATGATGAGGCTATCATCTCTTGGTAACTGCGGGAGGTTCCTTTAAGCAATCTCTTGGAAGAGTGCGAAGAAATATTTGGGGTGGAAGAGATCATGAGACAGGAAGGTGGGTTTGAAGAGGCTTTTGCTGTTGGATCTAGAGCATAAGAATGGGTTTTGGTAGCAATCGTCTTTGGTTTTGGAGGCTGAGAGGAGCTTCTGCATTTATTTTGGGTTTTGTGATCAATTGATTGTTCTAAATCTGTTAATTCATTTTTCAGAATGAAGGGTAGTTAATTGGAAAGGGTGTGAAAAACAGGTTTTAGTTGGCCAAAAAAGATGATTGACGTAGATGGGGTGTGGGAGGATGTGTGCCTTGAATTTTGGTTGGTACAAAATTAGACTGAAAAAAAAAAGTTTTGAAAGTGATGTTGGGAGTAAATCTCACAAATTAAAATACATATACTGATATAATATAAATATAATATAAAAATAAAACATGAAAATAATATGATTAAAAATTTTAATAATAATTATATATAAATTTAATAAAATTAAAAATATATATTTAATATTTTTATATCAATATAAATTATAATAAATAATTTTTATATAAAAATAATACGAATATATAATTTTAATATTTTTATGATATAAATATAAAAATCTATAGATCTAATTGTATGACATATACGATGGTGTCATTCAGTCTTTTGTTGATTGGGGTAGAAATGTTTGGCTGTAAATTCTTGTAGAATTGTATTAGAGCTGCTCTTGTTTCTGCTGGAGTTAGGTTTTAAAAGTCTGTAAGTTGGACTTTTGCGCCTTTATTTTTTTTTCTTTTTGTATAATAATTATTGTTAGCCGCAATTAGTCACAGCATTGTGCCCAATATTGCTTTAGTTACTTGGAATAATCAACTGTACGAGTGAATTCATTCTTAGGCCTAGTTGAAAATAATTTTTGCGTTTAAAAAATATTTTATCAAATCCCAATGTTGAATAATGAAAAATTTAGTTTTTAGTCTACAAACGTCATTTACAAAATCAAACAAAAAAATTCTTTAAAATTTGCTTTTGTGATTGGAACGTGATTTTGAAATAAAAATATTATATTATTCTTATATTTTAATATTTTATTATTTTTTTTGACATTTTTATTAATCATAATATTTTTTTACAATAATGTCAAATACTTAAATTTTTTATTTACACTTTTTAAACATTTTTTTAATCTTTTTTTTAAACCACAACAATAATACTAAAATAAGCTTTAATTTAGATTAGTTACCTTATTCACTTAGACAAATATATTTTTGATTTTAATCACAAACACAATTAAAGGTTATGTCATGTATAATAAATATAATAAACGTATAATATTTATATTTATAATTTAAATATATTATATAATTCGTATTATATTTGTGCTTCAATAATATATATCATTACACGTATAAATATAAAACAAAACATAATAAAAAAACGTAAATTATTACATTTACACCCACGTGTCACGGATTTAAAGAAGAGTCTTGAATCTCATATCGAACATAATAGGAGGGTCAGTGGGGTATAAAAGGGTTCACACTATCTCCGTCTTGTAAGATGTCTTTTGTAGAACAAAACCGTGAGGTCAAGGGAGTCAGAGCGGATAATACCTCACAAGAGTGTGAACCGTGACGGTCAGACTGATTTGAGACGTTGAAAGGGTGAATGCTTGGGTCTCGGAGCCGCACGGATTCAGAGCTTGAGTCTCGACCTATGACGAGTGGTATCAGAATCAACCCTATACCGTTCGATCCATGCGAAGCGCCTCGAGAGAGATAGACAGAGTGATCAGTCTCCGTGACGAAGACGTCACGAGGTTGGGTGCGAAAAAATGTCACGGACTTAAGGAAGAGTCTTGAATCTCACATCAAACATAATAGAAAGGTCAGTGGGGTATAAAAAGGTTCACATCATCTCTATCTTGTGAGACGTTTTTTGTAGGATAAAATCGTGAGATCAAGGGGGTTAGAACGGATAATACCTTACAAGAGTGTGAATCGTGACAATCAAATTTATCCAAGACGTCGAAATGATGAATGCTCAGATCCTAAAATCGCACGAATTTAAAACTTGAATCTCGACCTGTGACACACGCACTCGGACCCAAAGGACACGGCAGTCGCAACTTTGTTATTGGCTTGTTCTTCTTTTCTTTCATCAAATCATTCCTCGCACGTGCGCGACTTGGGAGCTGGCACTTTCGAGTCTTATGTTAATTTTTAAAATTCTTCGGATCTTATTTTTTTACCATCTGAGAGAATCTTTAAATTAAAAAGTGACTTTATTTTTATGTTTTGTATTTGTCTTTGTCTGAACTTGAGACCGCTTACTGTGGATGCAATCGTACTCACGATGAGGTGCGATTGCATCTCAAAAGTCACCGTAAATTCGTTTGGGTCTCATGTCAATAACACAATTAAACCGTGCCGCAGATTTTTTTTAAACATAAATATAAAACATTATATAAATATATACATCTACGAGTTACCGAATCTAACAGATGATTTCGAGGAACAATATTCAACAATATGAACAGAAGATGTAATAAATTAGAGTAGAAATTTGACTTTTTCTTCTTCATTGGGTAGCCCTTTTCCAACACGTGACGTTAAGCCCGTGGAAAAACTCGTTGGGAAGAGCTACATAAATCTACGTCTTCTGCTTTCTATCTTTGAAACAGAAACTCAATGATGTCGAACTTTTATGAAAGCTTGTAGTTCCTGTTCTTGCCTGTGAGGAAGGGTCCTGGCCCTGCAACGGACCCGCCGTATTGGCAACAGCGCTGGCAATTGTCTGTTTTGCATGGTGGGCTCAGAAAGTCATCACCAAAACAAAGCCGCCTCTTCCACCAGGTCCTCCAGGCTTGCCTATATTAGGAAACCTTCCTTTCATCCAACCTGATTTCCATCAATACGCTACTAAACTCTCTCAAATCTATGGGCCCATCATCAAACTTCAGCTCGGAAGGAAGATTTGGATAGTTATAAGTTCACCTTCAATTGCCAAAGAAGTCCTCAAAGACCACGATGCTATTTTCGCTAACCGTGACACTCCTGCAGCAGCCTTAGTGGACACCTATGGTGGATTTGACATCGTATGGAGATCTAATGGCCCCGAATTGCACAAGCTGCGTAAGCTAGTTGTTCGTGAAATTATGAGTAACAAGAGCCTTGATGCATGCTATGCGCTTCGTCGACGTGAGATTCGACAGATGATCAAGGATATTTATGGAAAGGTTGGTTCATCCGTTGACCTTAGTGAACAAATATTCCTAGCCACTATAAGTGTCATGATAAGCATGCTATGGGGTGATTCATTGAATGGAGAGGAAATAAGCAGGCTTGGGATTGAGTTTAGGAAACGATTGGAGGAATTTGTAGAATTGATAGGAGCACCTAACGTTTCAGATCTTTTTCCTGTTCTTGCCGCATTCGATTTACAAGGAATTAAGTCCAAAATGAAGAAGCACTTGTCGTGGTTTTATGGGATTTTTGAATCAGAGATAGTACACCGAACAAAGGGAAAGAAGAAGGAAGAAAGCAAGGATTTTTTGCAGCAGTTATTGGAGCTGAACCAGAGAGGAGATGATAAAACCTCATTATCCATGAAAGAGATAAAGGCTTTGCTTCTGGTAATGTCCACCAACTTACATACCTTATCCGCTCATTTTTTCTAACTATTTTTTTTTCTTTGTCAACATGTAATTGGTCCTCACCTTCCTGCGGTAAGTGTATATTTTATATGCTTACGATTTAATAAATCAAATATAATAAAAATTTTCTATATGCTTACTATTTAATAATTCAAAGATAATAAAAGTTTTCTGAACTTTTTATTTTTTATTTTGCATTCAAATAGATTTTTATTTCAAACAATGATTGATTTATGTTAAAAATTTATTTAAGTACAAATTAAAAGTAAAATTTTATTTAAATA